ATCCGAAAAGTTCCCAAAACTGCTATTTTATCTTCATTAATTTCACAAGACATTTTGTCATTGTTCAACGACACGGATCGATGACGATACACAATTATGCCACTCAAAAGGACCAATTCTATTAACCATTCTTCCTTTTAACAAAAGACCGGTTTTGCTCAAATCATTTTGAGTTACGCAATGTTAGGGAAGCCTCACATATCCATTGGCGATGCTTCCGCGAGGAATATGTCATCTTCTGCTGACATATCTTTTTTTATTAATATACATGAACTTCAAAATTTCCAACGTTTCTCAAAACAACTTTTTTTGCATGAAATATTGATAATTTTAGCGCGTTTTTCTTGAAATTTGAGTGTTTTCAATGCAAGGAAGGCGTAATAATATAAATACATGTATACGTATAGAACAGGTATGCCATTACGAATGTATAGAATGTATGTTTATATCATAATATCAAGTTGTTTTCTTTTTTATATTCTGCAAAGATGATTCCGAAATGTTAAGGCTTTCGAAAAAACCTATCAATTTTTTCCATGATGTTTACAGAGAAACGTCACAGCTGCACCCAACGAACATATGACGTTTCTCGTGGAAAAAATCGATATGTGAGGCTTCCCTTATGCGTGTTGGACGTAAACAACATATCTTGTCTACAACTTTGAGAAGGTACAAATAATTCCTTCAAATATCGATCCTTCTGGATCTATCTCTTTAAAATTACAAGCACGTTAATGTTAAGTCTTTGGCCTTTGGGCTATGTCTCTGGGCTGAGAAATAATTGCTTACATGCGATCAAAATGTTTTATACAACGATCAGGGGCGCCGGAAGCAATATGAAGCGGCGGGGGCAGCCAATTCAAAAGGGCAATTGCTTCTCAGCCATCATTTTTTCTGGACGGCAATATTTGTTAAAACTTTACTGTATGGATACTCGATTACTTGTGACTATTATGGGTCTGCAAACTTCGACATTAATTTTGAACAATTTTATTCGTTGATGACAATGATGATAACAATATTTAATATCAGGTCATTTCAAACTTTCGTAATACTACGACGAACATTTGAGTCAACTTGTGTCCGGTGCCCCGCGCATAGTGAATGAGGCGCAAATGACACTTAATATATGTAAACAAGATGGCGCAAAATCGACCTAAGCGAACTTATACGTTTTGCCGAAGAGTACAGTGACTACACTCCTAGGCCTTCGTCCAAATGCTCCAAAAAGTCCGCAAAGGATAATAATCTTAACAAATCCAGCCTATCCGTTTCAAGTTCATTACAGTATGTAGTTACACTGCATGACGAGATCTGCCAAGTATTTAAAAGCCATTTGACTGGGTTTCCACCTTTAGCACGTTTGAAAGCAGCGTGAAGAGAAATGATCTTTGTCTTGAATGCTTGAACTAAGCGTCTGCTAAGCGTGACACCTCGTATGCCACTCTCCAAAAGGATGTTATTGACAATAATAGCTAACTAAGACGCATACGTTTGACCTTCTTGTCGCTTGTACTCTGTTGACAATTTGTAAATCAAGAAACTGCACGGTTATATAAATCAGAAAGATACTCATAAACAAACAGAATTTCCCAAAACCTCAATTAATAAAGACTACTGTACAAACGAATACATAAATAAAAAAAATAAATAAAATCTACAAACTCACTTGCTTATTTATGCATCAGTCAAATCCAAGCGTGCCCATCCCCCCCCCCGGGCTACCCCGGGGCATTTTCCTATAAAGCACGTCCCGGGGTTTGGGCATTTGAACTCAAACCTTTGCCCGGGACGGGGAATTTGAAACTCTTTGGATTACTTTATACGTGCCCAAAATACCATGATGTATAAAACCAGTCAAGTTGTCAAATATAAAACGCTAAAATTCGAACCACGCCAAACTTTAAAAATAAATGCGCTAGAGCATGACGAAAACGCGCTAGAGTATGACGCACAATGCTTGGTAGCCTTGGGCGATATACTTGGCCGATCGAAGAAAGTATTCTCTTTTATATTTTCAGGTAATTGGATAATCTGCTCTTCTTAGCGAAACAGTCCAGCTGTCCCCGGGATGGCGGATTTGCTACTGATTTTTTGCCCTACTGCCGGGAATTTTCACGTGTTTTTTATTCCCGCCCCCGGGAATTTGTTGCATATTTTCAAAAATTGTCAAAAGCCCGGGGTTTGCCCGGGGGGATGGGCACGCTTGGATTTGACTGATACATTAGTGCACAACGAAACGAGATTGACTCTGAGTCAGAAATTCCCCTTCTATATCATCGGCTGCAGCCTATTCATTTCAATGTCTTGCCCTCTATCAAAATACGAAGAATTCTACGAAAATTTAAAATCTGGCGCTACCTTAAGGCATAGACCTGCGCAGACGTTCTAGAGCCAGTTTTCTTCGACAGCCGCGCGCGCGGCTCGTTTCTTCTGTATAGATCTTGACAATTCGCGCATATTTAAAAAGTGCCCTTCGAAATAAGAATTATTTTCAAACGAAAGTGCATTAAAAATATGCCCCAGAACATATACTTTCCATTACTGGAGCTACCTAAACACGAATGTAAGAGGACAAGAAGCGCAAACGAAAAAACATCAAATTTTGCGGCAAATTTGTATTGCAAAAGTTGGAAATATGACACGCGAAATATGAGTAGACTTTTTATTAACACTAAGTTTGATATGATCGTCCAAACAGCCATTGGCCGGTTTAAATTGAGTACGGATGTATATTGCCTGATTTAGCATTAATTTTACTACAACTGGTTAAAATTTATGCAAAGATTGCTTAAACTTTGCTTAAAACTAGGGCAACCTGTTGCCCCCGTGCTGCCCCCGCACTGTTTGGGCAACGGGGGCAGTTGCCCCTGCTGCCCCCGTGGCTCCGGCGCCCGGGCCTGAACTTCAGGTTAGTTGAAGTCCGTCTCTCATATTTTCGCACCTTTTTTGACCGCTCGAGTGCATCGCTATTTTCAACCCCTTGAGAGACGGACTTGAACCCGAGTCTAGGGCTATACAAATACGCACATTACTGTACATGATACATACGATACACAGCTATTTCAATTAAGATTTAAGGTCTTCCCCGAGCTAAGCGTGATAAGCGGAAAAGTCGATACCGGCACGAACGGCTTACATGTAACACAGTACTAAAATATATGCGGTAGGCCCTACAAGTAAAGTTATATTTTATAGTACGCTACATTCTATTTCATCAAGACTGTCAGCCGCCAGTTGGTCCGTACGCTAGGATTAAACTGCGCTTTAAAGATGCGGCACAGTCTGATCTGCGCATGTGCACAAAGGAGCCCTCTTTTTATTTACAAACAGTTTATTTAGGTTTGTATTTCATTTTATGTTCTTGCAAAGCTTGATTGTTGTCTCTTGATAATTTATTATACTCTAGAATCATGAAAATATAAATAGTTGTCGAATAAAATTCAATATTTTGGATGCGGGATACCGAAATGTAAACAAAGCCTTTGTTTACATACGGACTGTACCACATCTTGAAAACGTTCAAAATAAAATATTTGGGGGCTTTTGGGATCAAAATACTATCAAAATGAAGAGAGAAGTGAGACGAATCCACTGGTATACGGCCGAAAAAGAGAAAACCAATGATATCAAAGTTATCAAGAATTAATTTAAACGTACTGCATTAATAATTTTGAGCGACTTGTCAACAATACAATTATTTCGCTTGGCTTTCAACTGACAAAGGCCATATTCGCTAGAATACTGTTGACTTGTTTAGTAATACTGTACATTTGACATCCGTAATTAGTACAATTTCTAACGCTGAATCGAACGGTGGTATTTTTATCCTCAATACGTACTGCGAGCTATTTATCAACAATACAATTTCGCATGAATTTCAAAGGCAATAAATCGCTAGAATACTGATGTTTAGTAATACACTTAACATCCGTAAGTAAAATTTCTTACGCTGAATCGTATGGAACGGTGTCGCTTTCTTCTCAAAATATAAAGCAGCGCAGCCAAACGTAACTTCAACCTCGTGAACGAGGTTGACGTATTAAACTTGCGATTTGCGAAGGTTGCTGTTTCCATGTCGAAATTCCTTGTAAAATTGTTCAATTTTCCCGAATTTTTCTCAAAATGCAGGGTTATTTATGGATAATGTGGGTAAAAATTGGCAGGAGCCGAGGGAGCTTTATGGATAATTTGGGTAAAAATTAGGTAGCTCATTAATATTCTATTTTGTGGCTATCGATCTTCGATCCACGATCCACTATCGCCGGAGAAAAATGCGAGCAGAAACCTATACTCGTCCGGGGCACAGGGTACCCCAGCGAGTAACTATGGCTTTTGGCAGTTTTGCATCATATGTGTTTTTTAAAAGATTTTCTTACTTCCCCATGCCACGTGTAAAACGCGAAAAATCTTTATTAATAATAACAAAAATTTGTAATAGTAAACAGTGTATTTTATTATAAAGGATTTTCGTTTTTCTACTGCTCCGTACTTCGTGTGCTCCGTGCTCCGTGTGCTCCGTGCTCCGTGTTTTACTAACAGCCTTTCGTAGTCGGATCGGACTTCGACATCCGAAATAAAATGAATTAATTATCCACGCATTATCGCAAGAATGAATTATTCATGCTTTATCAAAGCATTATCGCAGTTGTCGCTGCATTATTCGTTTTATATTTCAATTGGACGTCACTTTGTCAGCTTCTTGACTTGTATTTCTTGCATTTCTTGCTTATATATTTATTTGGTTAAATATTTCAACTTGAATGAGAAATTTATTTTATTAAAGAATTCTTCGGATCGGATCGGATTGGAATTCTTTATCAAAACTCGGATCGGATTCGGATTAGACAATTTCGGATCGGATTTTAAACATTAAGCAATTGTCGGATTATAAACGTCCAATCCGATCCGATCCGATAATATCGAACATCCCGTTTCAAGGAAATTTAAGGCATGCAAAATCAAGGAAATTTGAATGGTGCATTGTGGAAACAGTGACCATGGAGAAGGCACATGTTTTATTTATACGCTTTTTAAATATTTTTTGTTTGGTTTACGAAGGGAAAAAGTCAGGTACATTTGTATGCTTTTTGTCCTATTTTTATGCATTTGTAAAGTAATTCTTATGTTGCAGTGTTGCTTATAATGTATTTGTATTGTTTCTGTAGAAACCACCGTTAAATCATCTCTAAATCAGTTGAGAGTTGTATGAGCTCATGAGCTGTAATATTGATATTGTTCGAAATTTAATATGGTTCGAATATTTATTTATTAATTTTATTAGTAAGAGTAAGATTTTTTGGGTAAATATAAGGATTTTTGGGGCTCCTCACTTGATATTACTAAATATTTATGCATCAGTCATTTGAACCCCGCCCCCCCCCCCCGCCTTGGGGACACCCAGGGCATAACGTGGATATTCACCTCATTTTCACCGTTTTGTCCTTCTCCGGCCACTGGGGAATGTGGGGCCAAAGCGAGTTAAGCTACGTTTACATGCTACGATTTGTTGTATACGATTCATATTCAAATGTAGCCAGTTTATGTGTGTTTACTAGTAGTCTAGGACCTGTATATGAGTTTGTATGCATTTCATTTAGGACAGATAATCTCAACTGTTTTAGGGTAAGTTGACCATGACGGTCAACATGGTAATGCTGCCCGAACCCCAATCCGGGGCGAAATGTCCGAAACTGACCACACCCAAAAACGACGCTTTCGCCATACTGCTATCTACCAAACCATAAAAGCTTTGGCTATTCTGAGGTGCTTATATGGTTCAGAGATGGTACTTTTGGGGGTGGTCATTGGTATGTGTGAAATGCCTAGCACTAATATTTCACAAGAAAATGGCCATGCAATAATCATAGTTAAATGTCAATTTGTGGCTTGCAAATTCAGATAAACAGCAGTGGACTTACATTACCTTTTTCCCTAAATCTTTTTGATAGAAACATAAATGGTACTTATTTAAATATATTATCACTGGTTTGGTGTAAAATAGTAAATATTTTCTGACCGAAATAATAATTTGAAATGTGCCTACCTCCTGCAAATGGACGTATTTGGCCAAGTTCTCTACTTTACTCCGCTGTTTATCGGCGATCTCGTCGACATCCTACAAAAAATGTAAATCATCTCAGACATAATGGTATCAAGAACATTTTAAACAAGTTTCAACTTGGTTTCAAGTAGATCATACCTGTTTAACCATCGACAAGGTAAATCCACAACTTTGTCCAAATTCGGCGCCATTTTGTCATCCCATGTCGCTTGTTAACAATTCAGCCTTGTTACTCTTCCATCCAAGCCATTTCCATTCCACTAATAATACATTTAACCCTTTATAACAGGAGGAAACTAAAAAATCTAAACAAAATACAAGAAATACGCCATTTTATCACCCTCTAAAATGTTGTTTACGAGTCCTTCGAAACATTCCGTACAAATCTCGCGTGGTTTAGCAACAGGGACGTGACAGGGGGGGTAGAGACTTAAAAAATGAAAGGAAAGCCCACACAGTATGGTAAAACCGTAAAAGCCAACAATCAACATTTAATTTGTATGACTTTTTCATATTAATAAATAATAATATGTATATATTTGTCGCTACAAGAAATAAAATAAACATTTGTATGATTGCATTTAGCTTTTAGTCTATTTCACCGCAGCCTTCTATCTTCGTGAAATAATTCACCCCCTCCTGTCACGTCCCTGTTACTTTGTCACGCGATATTTGTACGGAATGTTTTGAAAGACTCGTGAGCAAAATTTTACATGGTGATAAAATGGCGTATTTCTTATATTTTGTTTAGATTTTTAGTTTCCTCCTGTTATAAAGGGTTAAATTTATTATTAGTGGAATGGAAATGGCTTGGATGGAAGAGTAATAAGGCTGAATTGTTAACAAGCGACATGGGATGACAAAATGGCGCCGAATTTGGACAAAGTTGTGGATTTACCTTGTCGATGGTTAAACAGGTATGATCTACTTGAAACCAAGTTGAAACTTGTTTAAAATGTTCTTGATACCATTATGTCTGAGATGATTTACATTTTTTGTAGGATGTCGACGAGATCGCCGATAAACAGCGGAGTAAAGTGGAGAACTTGGCCAAATAGTATTACGTCCATTTGCAGGAGGTAGGCACATTTCGAATTATTATTTCAGTCAGAAAATATTAACTATTTTACACCAAACCAGTGATAATATATTTAAATAAGTACCATTTATGTTTCTATCAAAAGGATTTAGGGAAAAAGGTAATGCAAGTCCACTGCTGTTTATCTGAATTTGCAAGCCACAAATTGACGTTTAACTATTGATTATTTCATGGCCATTTTCTTGTGAAATATTAGTGCTAGGCATTTCACACTTACCAATGACCACCCCCAAAAGTACCATCTCTGAACCATATAAGCACCTCAGAATAGCCAAAGCTTTTATGGTTTGGTAGATAGCAGTATGGCGAAAGCGTCGTTTTTGGGTGTGGTCAGTTTTGGACGTTTCGGGTTCAGGCAGCATTACCATGTTGACCGTCATGGTCAACTTACCCTAAAACAGTTGAGATTATCTGTCCTAAATGAAATGCATACAAACTCATATACAGGTCCTAGACTATAGGGATGTGCCGGATACCAGATAGTACCAGATAGTAGCCTGCGAACAGGCTCTCAAGCTGAATTGAGAGCCTGCATCGATGACTAATGAATTTGAATATCTGCGTCTCAAATCGTGACGCGAAATTCTCATTGGTCAGATGCTATAATTTATATGTTTCCACTGAGCTCTATATATGTCAACTGCTGAAGCATTATGCATAAAAAACACATTAACTGATCAAATTGGTCTTGGCCGTCTTATCTCAAAGCATGAAATGTTCTGTTTTGAGAAAACAGTATTTAAAACATTTGAACTTTTGCTTGAATATCTTATATTTCGAAAAACAGTATAAACTGTACAGTCTAAATTTAGTTAGCACGCTCTAAATTTAGTGTGCATGAAAGTTGTAAACAACACCATATAAGGATAGACATTCCATATTTGGAAAAATGAATGTTACGGGGCAGATATTCGGATTCATCAGTCATCGATGCAGGCTCTCAATTCAGCTTGAGAGCCTGTTCACAGGCTAACCAGCTAGTAGTCTACCGGATACCGGTCAGGAGAACATGATGACCGGATTCTGGATAATAACCGGATACCGGATAATAACCAGATACTCCCATACAATAATTTATTAGAAACAGAACATTTTTGTATCTTAATTAACTAGACCAATGTGGCAATGTGTTTAAAACAATAACTTCAAGAGTCCCTTTTTGTCTCTTTGACCTATTTGTCTTTACCAAGGCCATATCTTATGATTCACCTTACATATTGTTTACTGGTATTCAGTATATAGAATTCACTGCTGTTGGCGAACAAGCAGTTCACATCACCATCACAAAAACACATGTTGTAATTTCGTCGTAATGCAGCGCACGCTCAGTAATTGTTCGTGTTTCACAATTTTTAAACGCCAAGTAAACTTTTCCGTTTCATGATTGTAACAAAATATCTTACAGTACTATCCGGTAAATATCCGGCAAATTTATACCGGATAGTGCCGGATGTCTAAATTTTACCGGATATCAGATACCGGTATCCGGACCCGCACATCCCTAGTGTTTACTCAATGACATATGCCAGAAAACAAATTGTACACGATTAATCGCAGCGTGTAAACGTAGCTTTACGTAACACAGTGAAAACATTTAATTAATAAAAAGTTTACAAAAATGAAATTTTGCAATCAGATATACCGTAAGGAAAAAAAAATTATATAAAATTAATTAATAATAAAATTATGCAGAATGTTTCAGCCACAATTTGACATGTTACTATAATGTTTTGTCAGGGTTTTAACTGACCGGGTAATTAATCAAGGTTCACACACAAAGAGAGTGAATTCCCCCGGTGTCCCCGAGGTGGGGGGGGGGGGGTTTAAATGACTGGTACATTTGGGCGTTTTGTAGATGGAAATTTCGAGTTTAAAATTTTATACATTCATTTTTCGCATCTGCTCCTGGTTTATTAATACTAGGTCTAAAAATATATAAAATTTCCACTAAAAAATTACCATGTGCAATTTCCGTCTACATAAATCCTTCAACACCTGCAACATTTAGTTCTATCGAGTGAGATGATAGTATGTGAAAATATCTATAAAATTTAACTATAAAATATTATTTACCTATCTAAAACCATACAAGTGACAAGACTTGTAATAATATATGTGAATTTGCAATTATTAAAGCTCAACAACTGGAATATGTAGCGCAGTTGGTTAGAGCGCTGCATTGGAATCGCAACGAGGCAGGTTCGACCTCTGCCAGAGAGCATATAGTAGCATTTCTCACATCTATTCCTGCCTCCTGCATGATTCGGTCTAATAATGCACGTATAAAAATTAACAACAAAAACCCTTTAACATTTAGTTCTGTGCCAAACATAAACTGATATAGAACGTGAGCAGTCCCTCGGGAGAAAGGAGGGATCGCCAACAATACGTCAAGAAACAAAATATCCCACTTTTCGCTCTTGTCAAGTTGGCTCCGCCTTTGCCTAAACATTACTTATATCGAATTAAATCTATCCAATAGGAATCGTTAATGTCATGTTTATTTATAAAATCAACATTCAGTCTGGAAATTATTTATAGCATAATTACTACGTATCAGATTTGATTGACAGGTGTATCGATTTCGACCCATGAGAATTTTTGTGTTGTGTGGGCAACGTGTATTTCGTTTCTTGATGTGTTGTCGGCAGTCTTTTCTTTCGCATGCCCCGAAATCTAAACCTGTGGAAAGGAGGGACCGCTCGCAGTCTACTACTGATATTTACCCATAAAGCCCCACCATTCAGCATCCATGCAAATACTAAAGTCATGCCAACTAAGACTTCTGCTCACACTGGTTTCTAAAAGCCTCTTGAGCAGTAAAGTCGTATCCATGCCCACCATGCAAATTTTTTAAAAGAAATTTTGTTTCTGTAGGAAGACATTGAGAAATATGGCTTGCAAGAGCTTATGAATTTCAAGGTGAATGTTGAAGGAATGGTGAACAGTCACATGATTTCAATGGAAGGCATGGGCAAAGGAAACGTCATTTCGTATGTTTGACATAAATTATTATGGCATGTTTGAAACAGTTGTTACAGCTAGTATAAGTAGAATCATAATTAGAATCATTATTTAACAGGAACTGTGATTTGTCTATTTTGAACTGGGAAAATGTGATTTGGTTTACTGGAACTCAGGGAATGATTGACACAAAAATAAGAATCATTTATGGGAAAACCCATATACCATCATTACAAAGGCAGTTGGAGTTGGACATGTCAGAGTCTAATCAGTGGCGTAACAGAGAAAGAGGGGGCCCTTAGGCATATTTGGTGTGGGGGCCCCCGTTGAATATCGTCATTGTTGACTGAGATGTTATGTTTATACTGTGATTCACCTGCAACCCATGGGTGTGGGTCATAAAAGAATGGGAAGTGAGTCCGACAAAGAATGTGGATAGCCCAGATATGTTTTATTTGAGATGGAATAAAAAACGTAAGCTATCGTTGTCGATGGAGGCTTTATTATTTTGCATCATTAATTTTCCATTTTCCCATTGATTCTTAACCTGCATTTTTTACCGCGTTTTCTAATTTTCTGGGCTGATAGGTCGTGACTGATAGGGCCCCCTAACTGTCGGGGGGCCCTTAGTTTTTGAACTAACCCTACCCAATGAGCGTTACGCCACTGAGTCTAATTAAATAACTTCAAGGAAAACTACGGAGCAACTTTTGATCGAGAGTTGATCTAAAAATGTCCTGGAAAACTGCATTCTGCCCTTTTCCGATTTTTCCTGCTATTACAACTCAGTGATTTACTTAGAATGTCTGGTATTTGACAGGAAATGACAGGCATTCATCGACTTTGAAGAGAGCTATTGAAAACAAAATATTGTGTTTTAAAAGTCAACACATATGTAGATGAAACACTTGCTTATAGAGAAATGATTTTAAGTTTGCAGTTGAAACTGGGACTTGGGCAATATAATTGTATTTAGAATAAAGGTGGGCTGGGAAATTGGTATCTAGACCCCCTTTAAAAGCTAGAATACCCTCTTAAAAGAATACTTGATTTAAATCTGATTGGCTAACTGCCAACTGTGAAATCGTAACATCAACTCATTGGCTCACCAAATATTATAGAGTTTATACATCATGCAGTACTTAGTTTGTACATCATAACAGGCTAAGTTGCAGAAAACAATTCAACATGCAAAGAATGTTGTTTCATCCCTTTTATAATTACTTTCCATTCCCAGTGCTCGTCGCTGTGGCTACGCCCGTGCTTCAAGCTGTCACTGCCAACTTAGGGTTGCTTCTGTAAATTTCGTGTAAATTCAAAACAAAGCGAATCATTCAGTATTTAATAAATTAGCCAAGCCATATCAAAATTCTGATGTGGGCACCCATCTTGGGCCTCGACTTCAATATTAGGCTCGAGCATCGCTCTAGCTAGCCTCTGCACAGTCTCATAACATGCTATGAGGTTCTGTGCATGCTATGGTCTTGTCCAATATTGAAGTCTCGACTTAATATTTTCCCACAAAAATCCAGTAAGTTGTAATAATTTATGCATCCAGAAAAATCCAATAAGTTGTAATAATTTATGCATCTATTGGCTATAGTTTCCTCCCCCCTTGAACAAACTGTTATAGCCTCTCGTCTTGGTCCTTGGGATCCTGCATATAAATGCTGTGGTTACTTATTAGCGAGGTTCAGCTGGATTTGACTTCCACGATCGCTACCGCTACCATTAACCAGTCAGGTGTGTTTAATCTCCCAAACCAATCAATCATATTTGCATATTTAGCCAGTGAGAGGCAAAGATAGCAGTAGTGGAAGTCAAATCCGAACCCCTTTATAATTGTATCAGAGAGAGCTTTTCAACATCGTAGGAACATCATAAGGTAACCCGACTAAACTTATGAAAACCGTGTAAACAGGCCATTTCCAAGGCTATTGATCCATCATTATTCTAACAATCATTTTCACTTTCAAGTGGCAATCAGATGGTCCAAATTCGCATCACTAAAGGTGACCCACTACCATTCTCATTTGACATTCTCTCCCCGTGCTTTCAATATGGTAATCGAACGTTCACTAGTTATCCCAAAGAGATTCCCAGCTACTTTAGACAATGTTTCCCAACTGGTTTTACCATGGAAAGGTCACTTCGTTTTGAAGATGGTGGAACCCTGGATGCTCGCAGTGATATCAGGTACTGTGAAGTAGGGTTGGGCGATATTTCGATATTTTGATTTATAGCGATATTTTCAATCGCGATTATCGTATCGGGTAGAAACTTGAGCGACGATATATCGAAATTATCGTCATGCTCGATGACTATCGTGATATTGCTTCGCATGTGTATATAGCTTTTATAAAATCCTAAAAAATATTTCAGTTCCTAGAAAATATAGTTTTTAAAAGAATTAAAACTATTTCCTGAATTAAATACAACATTAATACGATACCAAAGCTATTATTTATGTATTTATTATATACATGACAAAATTACTGCAATCTGATTGGTTAAGAGGAGTGCAATTATTTCATTAATTGCACTGTCCAGGAGTGCAATTAATGATTTTCGTGATGGCTGGGGGGAGCGGGAAATCAAAACAACAAAATCCAATATGGCGGCGAAATTTAGATAAGTATTTCTATAAAAATGTGGACAATTTAACTGAATTTTGGCACAAGAATGAGTTTAAGAAACATTGTATGGCAAAAAGAGCCTGTGGAAAATACCTGGAAACAGTCTTATGAAATAATCTTGGCGGGATGCAGCGAAACGTGACTATGTAAGTTTGAAATACAATTTATAAAGATTTTCTTAGTCTAAAATATGTTGTTTGAGTCTGAATCTTGTGTTCTAGTTTAAGTTATGTGCCTTTATGAGTTTATAATCATTTCCCAAGTTTGTTTATACCAAATTGCTTACAAAACAATTAAAAACTCTTGACAAAATGCAGTTGAAATATAAAGAAAGCAATTTTGTCATTAGCCCGCGTGCAGGCCCAAGGGAGCAGGCTCAAGGGAACTTGATAGTGGGCCTGCAAGCAAGGCCTGGTATTTTGTACTTTCCGCGTTCGCCCACGAACGCGGCATTCTGATTGGCTGTTTGCTGTTGGATTCTATAATTAGGTCAGTGATTCATCACAAAGGCTCTCGATAAGCTCAAAATTCGAAAATTGATCACTTTTTTCGATTATAAATGGAACAAGAACAGACTGTTTATTGTTTACTAGAAGGAAGAGATGTTTTTGCCGTTATGCCAATGGGGATTGCTTGTCGTGAGTTGTTGGAATAGCAACATTACGACTGGGGTAAACTATAGTAACCTTTACTTGAGTTTCATTAATTTCAAACAGACTTGATACGTTATATGTTCCTCAAGAAAATGATCTTTTGGTTGATGTTGAGATGCAGTTGCATGTAAGCCTATTAGAAACACTTTGCGATTTACAAGGCTTCGCTGAGAGAACGAAACAGAAGACGGTATATTTAAATTGCCGTTTGAAACGAAACGATCTGGACTCTGAACGCTCTCTTCTTTTGTAGAGTTCTTTACCAAATGAAATAACTGAAATAAATTTCGTACTTTCCGCCGCCAACAAGAATTGCACACACGATCTGATAAGTGAGACAATTTATTTATAAAAATGCCAACCGCGACAGCGAAACACACATTATAAATATGCTAATGTGGTCGCACGACTTCCCTCACGATTTGAAGTTTGAGACTGGTTTTCTGTTGAAATTCGTCCTAATTTGCCTGTTCCGATTTTAGTTGAAAATGAGCACTTGCAAATTTGGCAATTACTGACTGCGTTGCTTGCTTTTTTGGAGTTAAAACGCAGCCATTTACACATTGTTTATGTTCTGAATATGCAGAGAAAACCCCGCAACATTTTAATACGAGTTTGTTTGTTAATATTTGGGTGCTGTCATTGGTACTTTTTTGACAATTGACGCGCGAATGGGGCGTGTTATGAAAAGGGGCGTTTTACAAAATACCGGGCCTTGCTTGCAGGCCCACTATCAAGTTCCCTTGAGCCTGCTCCCTTGGGCCTGCACGCGGGCTATTTTGTCATGCATATAATAAATAAATAATCACACGGGCAAGTCGTGCAATTAATGATTAACACTACGAGTGATATTTGAAAAATGTGCCAAATTGCACTCGCCTCGGCGGCTCGTGCAATTTTGGCACATTTTTCAAATATCACTCGTAGTGTTAATCATTAATTGCACTCCTTCCCGTGTGATTACCTATACTAATCCGCTGAACAATGAAATTACAGTATTTTGCGCTCATGTGTGCCAGTGGAGACATACTGGACAATTCTGGTTTATGACCATGACAGGCATGAGTAAATATTAGACTAGAAACATCCTTCATATTACTTTAATTTGTTGTTTTACTTGTTTTTAATAAGATTATATATAAGCTTACTATGCTTTGATATTAATTAAAATTGAAAAATGTGGTCATTGTTTTTATTGCATTTATCGCGATACTATCAAATATCGTGATAATTTCCTGGACAATAATCGTGAAATGATTTTTTTTAATATCGCCCAACCCTACTGTGAACCGTATTCAGCCATATCGCAGGACATTGAGTATGAATATGAAATGAGCACAACCGGATGATAGCTGCAACCGGATGATGATGTAGAATGAGCACAACCGGATGATGATGTAGATGATCGAAATGGAAATAGTTAATCTTAGGGAAAAATGAGGGCTGGGGTTTAACCACTACGTGCTACACGGCAGATGCATGTAATAGACAGATTTAGAAAAGGCGACGAGGCAAACACGACTTGAGAATTTCAGTTCAAGATTGAGAGATAAGTAACTTGATTACTGTAATCAGGGTTCGTACGGGTCCTGGAAAACCTGGAAAGTCATGGAATTTCAATATTCCAAAATCCAGGCCTAGAAATCCTGGAAAATCAATTTTAGTCATGGAAAGTCATGGAAAATTGAAATTTTTACAAGACATTAACAAAGCATTTTACTTATTTCAATTTACCTGTCATAACAATAATATGAATTGTTTTTATAACGATTTTTGCAAGAGCGAAGTGAATTGTGTTCTTTTATTATATCTGTTATCGTTAAAATATTAACGAATTTCAGAAATTTAAGAGCCTGGGTACGAGGTTGCAGAAATTTCAGGTCATGGATTCTTAAAAAAAATGGTCATGGGAAGTCATGGAAAAGTCATGGAATTTTAAATGGGAGAAGGTGTACGAACCCTGTCTAATAAATTGAAGCTTTTTAAAATAACCTTACGAACGGCTAAGTTCGGAAAAAAGGATACGGTGTCTGCTATGCGACTAATTTTTGTAACTCCTCCAACGTCGCAACAAGCATTCACGTTGCTCCAATGACGTGAAAATCTTAGTTTAACGTTGTATTCGGAATGACAACGTTATTGAGGATACCCAAGGGACCAAAAATGATTCAAACTTTTTGTTTTGCATGCAGAATTTCTTTGTTTCGAAGGCTGCGTCTTTCAGTTCGCGTCGTGTCTTCTAAATCAGTCTAATATGTATCACACCCACCACAACCAGCAGGTGGTTCAGAGTAATGCTAGATGTACCAGTCACTGCATTTCCCTATCCCTCTCAATTAAACAAACACAATGGCTGTAACTACCGTAATTTATTTTAAAGAAATCGCATACATGTACGAATGCGGCACCTGCGCTGAAATCAAATAATTCGGAGTGGTGAGGACGGTACTTCGAAAGTCCCTATTGAGAGTTAGAGATATATCTATTGCTATGGCTTGTTTTTTTCCTCATCTCTCACTTCACATAAAGCTTTTTTTATATAATGTGCGTCTTGGATGATAGCTCCAGCTGTAGCCTGCGAACAGGCTCTCAAGGTGAAATGAGAGCCTGCACTGATGATATACAATTTTGAATATCTGCCCCGTAACGTTCGTTTTTCCAAATATGGAATGTCTATCCTTATATGGTGTTGTTTACAACTTTCGTGCAAACTAAATTTAGACCGTGCAAACGAAATTTAGACCGTACAGTTTATGCTGTTTTTCGAAATATAAGATATTCAAGCAAAAGTTTAAATGTTTTAAATACTGTTTTCTCAAAACAGAACATTTCGTGCTTTGAGATAAGATGGTCATGTAAGCTCTAACACCATTGACATGCACAGTGAAACCAAGATGGTATAAATCTCACGGGTGAGCACAATTTGAGACCGATATTGAGGTAACGTTAGGAAAACAGTTCAAACGCACGTAGAAAAGGGTCGTTCAGATTACCAATTTGCCAACGGCAACGAAATAAATAGATCACAAACTCGAATGTAATCGTATAATAACCAAACTTGTAATATAAACGCGAAACTATAACGTGTAACGTGAAACGTGGTTCGACTAAATAGAAATGAATATAAACCTAAATTAATACTAAATACTTAACCTAGCACTAACGCAACTAAACAATAAACTACAATATACAAATGAATTGTCACTTACAGATGTTTCCCCAGTAGCTCTTTAACTTTCAACGTAAATTATCTCTCTCTCTGGCTGTCCTCTCTTTACGAGTGTCTCAAACTATACTGCCGAGTTCTGGGGCTAAGCGTGCTTTTTCCATGCAAAAACGTAATTAACTACATCAGTCTTAAAAACATAAGTTTCCTGTGATAAGGATAGTCGACCGTAAATTTCCTGTGATAAGCACATTTGTCATTACTAATAAAACACAAATTGACAGTTCCAATCCTACAGGTCAAGACCAATTTTATCAGTTAATGTGTTTTTTATGCATAGTGCTTCAGCAGTTGACATATATTGAGCTCAGCAGAAACATAAATTATAGCATCTGACCAATGAGAATTTCGCGTCACGATTTGAGACGCAGAATTCAAATTCATTAGTCATCGATGCAGGCTCTCATTTCACCTTGAGAGCCTGTTCGCAGGCTACTCAAGCTGTTGAAGCTGTTTATGTATGATATGTTTTGCGTCCCCTTCGATTCGCTACATTTGCTACAATTATTAATCTAAATAATTAAATTAGTGGATAGCCAGTCAGAAACGTCCTTCTTCAAGCTGAACCTCTACTGATACACTGAATGCCAGGAATTGTGGCGTCAGCAGTAATTTTAATACGCCAGAATAAGAATCGCAGCGTGTATAAACACACCTTTAAGGCTAACACTGTCGTCGACAACTCGCTCGTGAATATTATCGTAGAGTGTCTGTCGCAACAAAACAATTTTATTTATTTATTGCGACAGTCGCCGATGAAATACGATAGGCGGTTAATTTAAACAAAATCGAAATTGGCGAGTGTCGCCGACTAATGAAAACCAGCCTTTAATTACACAGAATTGCAAATGAAACGCTCTACAAAAAACCATTGTAATTTTGTAAAATTACTGAATCTGGTCAAAAATATCCAACCATTTTGTTTTAGCCTAGTGACATATTTTCATGCAACACTTCAAAATCTTCCGCCCAATCGTAACTGACCAGATCATATAAACGTACGTTTGCATAGTGCGATTTGTCGGACCGATTTTAAAGGAATACCGAATGGTTTTCCGTGCAGAATTGCGTGATCCATGCACGAGGGATAAAATAACTACAGTGAGACAATGACATTTTGAGAATCCCGCGAAGGGATTTTAATTCATCGTGCAGGATAGTCTGATCCTGCACGGCTATTGACCAATCAAATATGTCACTGTAGTTATTATACAATAGGTTTTGCTGAATGTTTCTGATGAATGGTGGTCACGTGGATTGAAATCAGCCCGACAAATCGCAGCGTCATGATAAACGTAATGTAAACTTAATTGAATTTGGGATCTTTTCAAACCAGCTTAAAATTCCTTTCTAGTATTAATGAAGGACAATTTGTTTGCATGGTTGAGTGTAAAGGAGAAAATTTTCCCAACAATGGTCCCGTGATGCAGAAATCAATACTTGGTTTAGAACCATCGTTTGAAACAGTGTATTCAAGAAATGGGGCTGTCATTGGTGAAGTTGTTCTCTCGTTTAAACTGGATCGAGGAAATCATTATACTTGTCATATGAAGACAATTTACAGGTAAAACATTTCGGAGTGCTTGATATGCATTTCTTAAAAGTTAATAACTACCCTACAAAAGTTAATAACTACCCTGCTAATTTAAGGAAGTTAATTAATAAAACTTCCAGTAGGTTTATTTTCAACCAAAATTAATGTCAAATGTGGAGTTGAAAAGCACGCGACTACGCGTGAATAGATAAACTCAAACCAGGGCGTTTATAAGAATGGGTGTTGAAACGCCAATGAAAGCTTTCAAACATGTGTGATGCGCGGACCCCCCACTTTGTTCGAAAACGGTTTCATTGCATTTTCGTGTTTCAAGATCGCGGGCTGCTTGAGCGAAGAGGAAGAATTGGAAATTGCTATCAGTTTACATGTAGATGATACCGAAGACGCCGATCTTGGAACAAATACGGTAAAACAATCACCAGTTGGTACAACCACTGGCTTTACCGTGAGTGAGTTAGTTTCTGTTAGGCCGTATTCCCTGACCGCTTTTCGTTCAGTTTTGTTGCCCCCCTTCGGGCACTACTTTAAATTCACATGAATCTATAGATTTTTATACGCTGAGTACGAATTCACTTGTTGTCACTCGCACAAACCTGCAGTTTGTTTGTATTTTACGATCAAACATCAACATTTTTTATTAAAATTTCCGCCATTTTGTTCAGGAAACTTCATGTTATATACAATTATTGTACTAGTTCAAGTCTCTTAACAGGGGGGGGGGTTGCACGCGGTATTACGCATTTTTATCATTCTTCTGAGGAAAATATACGGAAATAAATAAAAATATAGATATGTTTTCACAATATTAAAATGCAAAAGGTAATAATACATGTTTGTATATAATCGGGAACTAATCTACTATTCTTTATTGCACCAACTTTTGGGTTTTTTGCCTCACCTTGATGTGAAATTTCAAAGACTGTCACTATATCCACAAAGACTCACTTGACTTGTCCTTGGTAAAGTTGTTTATTTTATTTATTACTGAAATTATGTACATAATTTTAGCCTTACAATGTGAATAGGCAATTTTTCTTTCAAATTTTTGTTAACAATGAATAAGGAGCACAATATACTTGTTGTTTAATTAATGTTAGACCTTGTCACTTATTTGTTGTTTAGTATAAAATGTTAGACCTAGTCACCTAGATAATTTATTAACACAAATAGACCATTGCCCATTAGTAGCAGTTGACCTCAATCAAATTAGCTCATCCATTTAATAAATCTGCACATAACGAGTTCCATCACAGTTAATAGAATAGATGGTTTGGCTGAAACTCATTATTTATGTTAGTCAACGTTTATTCATAAATCTGGTCCTTCATCCTCATGTGTGTACTGTATTCTTGCCAAATCCACCTTGTATTCTTGCAATTTTCAATTTACCCTATTGTTCGAGTTACGGATAGTTAACTTTCCTGAGACATTGCTATTGGTTAGTTGGGTAAAAATACAGAGACCAGATTTATGAATAAACCAGTGGTGTAACTTTTTTTTTGACCACTTGCTTTCAGCTAGGGCAATTTGCCAGGGGGTATAAATCAAGGGGGCAACATGTCGACGCATTCTCCCACTGCTCTATATGGCTATGTTATCCTTCCTTAGATCTAGCTTTGGCCCACAAAAAACAAAATTTGAATCAAGTACATGCACCATAAAAAAATTATCCGATAATGAAAGCCGAGCTTTTTGTGACAAGAGGCAACTTGCCCAATCGGGGGCAAGATAAAACATTTACTTGCCTGTCATGATATTCACTTGCCCCGGGCAAGTGTTAAGTTACACCTCTGTAAACATTGACTAACATAGATAATGAGTTATATTGTTATTCTGATGAGTTTCCAAACCATCTATTCTATTAACTATGGTACAGGTATGTTCCATTTTCTTGTATTATCATAAAATTTTTGCTATCATGACATTGAACTTTATAAAAAAACTTTTGGAAGATATCTTTCACTCTAAGACAGACTGACAGCCTACTTTTGGTCTGTTTATATAGAGTTTTAACCCAGCAATATTTTTTAATCAATTTATTGTTATTAAAGTATTTACATTAGCAAATGGTGGCCATACAGAACATAGCCCCAATTGATTACAGCTATAATACAAGAAGCTTGCTTGGTGTTTCAATTTATATGACACTGTTGAGGCAAGCATATGCATGGGCTTGCTGGAACAAAGGTACTAAGCAAAAATTATATTCACACAAGCAAATCTCAAAGTCATGCCACCTAAAGACATGAACTGGTCGAGCCATTTGAGGTTTAACAACATATTGTCATGATACATCATCACCTTAATAAGCTCTAATCCTATTTGAGCTGCCACTCATTACCAAGCACTTGGAGAAGGGATAATTTATTAATTTATATTTGGCCAGGCAGGCACTAGAAATTTCAGGGCCCGCGGAGCGTATTAGAGAGTGGGGGGGCTAAATCATCAATAAAACCCCCAATTAATTAATTTAGAAAGTTTCATTAGATTTCTGTTTTAATAATTTTGGCTGTCAAAAAAAGTGGGGGGGCTAAAGCCCCCCCAGCCCCCCCGTCTCCGCGGTCCCTGAATTTAAAGTAATCTGGCATCACTATACCTACCAATATGCATTAGTTACATAAACCTTCTTTCCAGTTGGGCTAGTCTAGCTGCCTAGCCAAGACTCTTTTTTCCATGCCTTAGATCTTGGATAACAGCTGGGCATTAAATAATAATCTATTCATCATTTCCTTTATAGGGGGTACCCAAGCCAGCCGGATACCCGAGCTAGCTCGCTTTGCCAAGATTTAACGTCACTATGTAATTTAAACTAATATTCATCTTGCATTTATATGGAACTGGGCTGGCCTGTCTAGGCAAGAACTTGAGAAGTAAAAAGTATTATATTATACTATTTATAGCAGTGATACCAATGATCTGTTTTTGTGAGCCAGCCCACCTCAATTAAAAGTCTCTTGTAAACATGGGATGAAATCAACTTGGATTACCTGGGCTGGTTTGCCTAGGAGATTAGAAAGTTTCAAAGTTAAAATTTATTTTGAAATCTCTCTGAGGGATAAAACCTTCAAAACTTTATTGTTGACAAAATTTTCAGGTAGAGAATACCCAGGAAAATTGCCTATTCATATTGCAAGGCTAACATTATGTACATAATTTCAATAATAAATAAAATAAACAACTTTACCAAGGACAAGTGAGTCTTTATGGATGACAAGAACAGTAGATTATTTCCTGATTATTTACAAACATGTATTATTACCTTTCGCACTTTAATATTGTGGAAAAATATCTATATTTTTATTTATTTCTGTATATTTTCCTCCGAAGAATGAGAAAAATTCGTAATACCGCGTGCAACCCCCCTGCTAAGAGACTTGAACTAGTACAATAACTGTATATAACATGAAGTTTCCAGAACAAAATGGCTGAAATTTTAATAAAAAATGTTGATGTTTGATCGTAAAATACAAAAAAACTGCAGGTTTGTGCGAGTGACAACAAGTGAATTCGAACTCAGCGTATAAAAATATATAGATTCATGTAAATTTAAAGTAGTGCCCGAAGGGGGGCAACAAAAATCGTTTTCTAAGCGACTTT